CTCTCTCTTTAATACTGTGTTTTTATGTGACATTTATACGATCTGTTTGTTTTACCACACACACACACAATAATGATCATGCTTTAAACATGTTTAATATGTCAGGTGAATTTTATTGAGGAATTTACTTGATAACACTATAAGTTCTAGAGATATATAGCTGTTTTTTAGACCTTTCCTACTGAAATATCAACCGTGGACTGAAACTTTTTAAAAATCTGAATTCCTTAAATGTGCTCATTAGTGAAAGGGAAGCGGATTATCATCACCAAGCTGCACGCGGCAACGGCATGAAATACACTGTCCTGCCTGTTTCCGTGGAGGTGAGCATATTTTCAGTATTGACTCTGCATCTCTTATAAGATGACCCTCTAATTTTTCTTTAAGCCTAATATCCAGTTTATTTGCAACTCAGCTGTCATATTTAATGGGATCCTCAGGAGGAACCTTTCCTTATTATTTTTAAAGAACAAACACCAAGTACATCCTTTAGCCTATGTGCCCTTTCATTTTGCAAGCGACATAACAGACAGGGCGCTGGCCTGAGTGGATTTCTAACAAGGAAGAAAGTAAGCTTTCCACAAGCCATTTAAATGATTCTTTTCAACTATTCCCTGACATCCCAATTTAAGAAAAATTCCCTTAAAAATAAAAAGTCATCAAATAGATTTAAATCTTTTCTTGTGGCAAGACCGTAGAATGACCACCTAAAGGCATTCATAACCCTTTTCTCTTACCTTCTACCTATACAAAGGCTGAAGAACTTCAGTGATTCTCCACACTTCCTTGCTGCTGGGGGAGGCCATATGACTCAGTTCTAACCAATGAGATTTAAGTGGAAATCGCTGGGTGGAGCTTCCAGGAAAGAATGTAGAAAGGACAAAACCTGCTGACTCATGCATGCCTCTGGCACGTCTTACACCCCACCCTTTTTCTTGAAAGGTGGACACCTAGTGTGTTAGATGTTTGAAACCACGAGAACGAAACCCCCATGGCTAAGGATGATGGAGGAGAAAGCCAGTAAGGGTCAGGCTCCTTGATTATATACTAACCCAAGACTCATCACACAAGACAAGTTTCTTTTCTGCTTAAGCCACACTCACCAGATTTTGCTAATACATGCAGCTAATGCATTACAACTGCTCCGTCCCCACACTCAACATTTGTGCAAGTAATACAAACCTAAAGCTTCCCGTCTATTACTGATCTTTCCCTATTAATGGCATGACTAGGTATATCACAGTGCTTTAAAAACAAAGGGATATTTAAAATATGGAAGGAATCAAGGTTCTTTCATTCTGCATATTCACTGAAATTAGGGACTGAGTAAATTTCAGCATTTAAAGAACTAATTTAAACCTTAAGATTGTGTTTATAAAAAGATAGCTCCCAAACTACCCAAATATTTTAGCATATTTTTTAATGATGCTCTTTTTTCCATCCAAATTTATGTATTCCAAATTTTCAAATCCTATTCTGCCATGTTTTATGTACTCTTGAAGAACACTCTAACTCTCCTCCCTAGAGTTATTGAATTCAGACACACGCAATTTAATGCCTGAAGACAGTTTGTTGCTGCTGACATTTTCAACACCAGATGTGATTAGTAACTAGAGCAATTTCTCTAAAACTACCTATGACATATGCTAAGATCTGAAATTATGACAAGATTAAAGTCTTCCTAACCTTTGCTAAAAATATTAAAACTGTCTAATCTCATATAATAAGGGAAACGGAAAATGCCAATAGCAACGGCAAGTTATGACTATTTCACACCCGGACAAAACAATGTTTTTTCACCCATTTATGTATTTCAGAACAAAGCGTAAAGCTGGTTATTTTATTCCTCTGAGGAGCTGCTTCAAATTGGCTGAGATGTAACTTAAAAGAAAGTTAAGGCATGAGTGACCACCAGAAGGGGGAAGGATTTCCTAAAAACCACTGTGCGGACCATGCCATTCCCATGTTCAAGGTCTTCAACGGCTCCCTAATGCTTCGCAGGTTCCCCTGCGGGTCAGCCCACCCCCCCTCTCTAGCCTCACTGCTCCCTGTGTTTCCCCCCGGACCAACGTTACTTATTCCAAAAGAATTCCACACTGCTCAGTTTTTATGCACGTCCGCAACAGTTACTGCATAAAGAAACTGGAAACAACTCAAAGGTCAAGGGGACATCTATAAAAAATACTGCATAACCACTGACAGTCATGTTCTTTAAGAGCATGACACTATGCTCACAGCCTATTTAAAAAATTGACATTTGTGGTTTTTTAAAATGCTATGAAGAATAAAATACACCACTCTAGAAATACCAAAAGGCATGTTACTACTACTATAAAACAGCTAGGTCAGTACAGTTCAAAAGTACCTATTCATCAGCATACTGAAGATATAAAAGAGATACCATTTTCCTAAATACTGGCTATAAATAATAATCATATAATTGGCTATACTGCCACCCAAAGCTAAATGATAGAAACAGCAAAATACCTAAGTGATTAAAAATATCTTTAAAGAATACCACTATAATTTATTCCTGCAAGAAATTATTGATGTGCTAAATGGATCTTATCTTTAAAAAGACTAGAAATCACCCCAGAGAGGTTTGGGAATTCCAAAAGCACTCCTGGAGTTTTATTATTACCAAACCCATAATATTTCCAGTATATGCTTAGTACATATATTAAATCTTCTTAAAAATATAAATAGGGCAGGTGCCTTTATGGCATAGACTTTTATTTTCCTACTTCAGACATAAAATTCTAGGATTTAATTTCCAATGCAAAATAAAAGAAATTCTGTAGACAACAGTTTGATAAATGCTCTGAATCTTTAATAGTCTACTAGATTTATGCAAATTGCAGGAATCATATCATAATTCCTATTAAAATTTCTATGCAGAACATTCAGAAAATCTCAACTCAACCTTGGAAAAAATTAACTAATATTTAGTGACAATTTTTATTTATTTAAGAACTCAAAAACTGAGTCCAATTCAAACATGTTGAGAATAAAGTAGTTTTTCTTTATTATTAATTCTAGCACTTAAAATATTTTAAAAGCCTTTAAAACTCTTGTAATTTAGGAGACAGTCTCTTTTGAGATATCAAAAAACAAACCAGAAAGTGAAGTCCTTCACACACCAAAAGTAAGAGGTCTGTCTGGAAAAAGTCCAGCCATTGTAATATAATGAGAACAGTTTGTGCGACATCGATGTAACCTGGCAGCCAAGGGGACTGGAATGCACATGTGTGAACAATGACAACATTACTGTACTAGTCAGTGGGGGCGGTAGATGCTACTGAGTGAGCGTGTGTACTGTGTGGCTGTCACATTCAAAATGGCCAAGTTGAGCAACAAATCTGCATCAAATTCTGCATTAAGCTTGAATATTCCTCCACGGAAACTATTCAGATGATTCAGAAGGCCGCAGCTATGGGCACCTGATGATTGTTCAGCTTCATCATGACAACACATCTGCTTAAGTATCATGTCTCATGCAGAGTTTTTTGGCAAAACATCAAATCACACAGGTGACTCAGCTTTCCTACAGCCCAGACTTGGAGCCCTGTAACTTCTGCCTGTTCCCGAAACTCAAATCATCTTTGAAAGGGGAGGGATATCACACTGTTGATGAGATTCAGGAAAATACGATGGGGCAGCTGACGGCGAGTGGGAGAACTGTGTGAGGTCCCCAGGTGCCTACTTGGAAGGGGACTGAGGTGTCATTGTCCTATGCACAATGTTTCTTGTATTTTGTTCAATAAATGTGTATTTTTCATATTACATAACTGGATACCTTCTGGACAGGCCTCGTATACCCCAAATCTGTTCTCTCCTTTCCATTTCCTTGGCTACCACCTGAAGTAGTTAACACCTCACCCGAATGCCTCCTAACTGACCTCTCTTTAGGTTTACCTCCTACAATCCTTTCTTTACACAGGCAGAAAATTTCTTACAAAATGTACACCAGATCTTGTCACTCTTTATCTTAAAACGATCCCACCACAAATAATAAAACTCAATGCCTTGTGTAACTGGGCCATGCCCTGCATGATTTTACATGCCACCGCCTCACTCACTGTGCCCCAGCCACACTAGCCTTCTTCCCGTCCCGCAAACACCCCTGCCTTCCCCTCTGCCAATCCCTCTGCTTGAAGAGTCTTTTGCCCCCCAAACGCTCCACGTGGCTCACTCCTCCCCATGGTTAGGGCCTCATTTGTGGTACAAGGTTTCAGATTTAGAGAATAAAACTAGGGGACTCACACTAAAAAAACGATTCATTGTTTATCTTACATTCAAATTTCACTGGGCATCTGCTCCAGGGTCATGGGCTGGCAAGCCCACTTCAATGTCACCTTTTTAGAGAATTTCCCAATTATTGCCATATCTAAAGAGTCTCCTTTGTCGTAACTCACTGCTTCTTCACCATAGCCCTATTTTCTTCATCATCCTTGCCAATCTCTGGAATGTTCTTTGTCACTTGTCTGATTCACTCATTTACTGCTATGTTCTTCCTCCATCCTGTAATGTGTAGGTCACCGCCCCTCTCGTCGACCCCTCACACCAAACTCTACCCTGTGTTAGCACCACAAAAACACAGGGTCTTTGCTTGTCTTGAACTGTTTCCCTAGCACATAACACAATGTCTAGTATAACATAAGCACTCCCAAGTATCTGTTGAATGAATGAATGCTCTGAATTTATATGCTTTCTAAGGTGTTTAGAATTACTTCTAATTCTATACCTGTGAAACAGTTTCAAAGTTCTGGAAGGAAAATTAGTCCGACTAAGTTTCTTACGCAAGCAAACAATCTGAACAACATAGTTTTATGTGAGTCATTTCATTACTGATACTGTATTGTAACAGGACAAATAAATGAAAGCCATTTATAATTACTTGCACATGACCAAAAATAACTAGGAATATAGAAATATTAACAGAAGCATGCTTACAGAGCACACGCTTGAAACAGACATGAAACTGTGCAAATTGACTTTACCGTCTTAATAGAACTCCTCTGTTTCTCTGCCCAAACTCCGCTGCTCAGCTCGAGTGTACAATGGATGTTTGCCTCTCGGTCATAGGACCCGAAAATGAACAGCCTGCAGTATGGAAACACAACGGGGAGACTGTTATACCGGTGATGTGCACTAGAGCTTTCCTTTCAGACCACTAAACCACAAAGTAATAAACTATTCCATTACTATTATACTTTTGGTAACAGAAAAAATGAAATCAAATACTTGGTACACCCTCTAGTGGAAAAGTGAAGTAAAGCCAAAATTAAGTGAAATTCCAGGACAGGCTGTTTTTCGGCAGCTAGGTCAAACAGAAAGTAGCATCTGTTAACAGGGAATAAACAAACTGACCAGGTATCTGACAAGAGCTATACAGATCTATAGCAAGAGCTATAGATCTTCAAATCAGTCTGTTGAATTTAAATAGTTGTAGGATAATGCCTATAGTAGTGATTTTCAATAGTTGTGCCAAAAGAAGTTTTAAAACATGCAGTACCTGACTATTTAGTCAGGAGCACCAACCTCTTTTCCCTGAGAGTGTCCAGTAAAAAAAAAAAAAAAAAAGATAACAGCCAACACAGCAACAGACATCCGTTGTGCATTAACCCAAATTATACCTATTTTTCTTGTTCGAGTTGCAAAAAAAATTTTTTCTTGGTGTGCTGCAGAATTTTAGTAATTAGTTCATGTGTGCCATGAGATAAAAAAGGTTGAAAATTGCTGCTGTAATATAATAACATCTCTATAAAAGTTAAACAGGTATAAAACAGTACAACATAGATGCTTATGAACACACATACGCACTTAATTAGGAACACACACACACACACACACACTTGTTAAACAGTGCTTAACAACCTATCGTCAAAAATACTAAGATTCACGACTATAAAATACTAAGTTTAGAACACTGAGAACTGTCAGCCAGCAAAGCTCTGCTGCCACCATCTGTCCGGAGCAGCACACTGCCGACGGGCTTTTCCGACGGAGCAGAGAAGGCTGTGCGCAGGCCAGGGCTCCCAAACTCCGGGAAAAGATTCCTCTTCAGGACCCAGGAACAAGAAAGCACAATTCTTGGAATCCTCCCTTGAAATTGTCAGTTAGCCTGTATTTCTCATATCACCACTTTTATGTTTTTAAAAAGAATAACAAAATTTAACAAAAAAAAACCCCCTCAAAATGCAAGTCACAGACTTAAATGCAAGAGAAAATGTAAACCTTTGTAACTTTGGATTAGGCAATGGTTTCTTAAGATCGGACACCAAAAGCACAATAGCAAGAGAAAAATAGATAAACGGGACTTCACTGGAATCAAAATTTTTGTGCTTCAAAGGACACCACCAAGTAAGCGAAAAGACCATCCACAGAACGGGAGAAAATACCTGCAAGTGATGTGGACCTCTGTCCTTGTTGGGGACCTTTCGCCTCCACAGAGAGCGTATAGCACGCACCCTGAAGACCGAAAGGCTGGGTCTTGGGGGGGGAGGCTCTAGTCCTCTAACACGCGGTGTGGGGACAGGCTCCTCCATGCTGAAAGAGGTCAGTGGCCGACTGACTGGGGTGTGATCTGTGCACTCAAAATTGGGGTGCTGTGAGCGAGAGGGAATCTACCGCCAAGCCTCACAGACACTGTTCCCATTGGAGAAAAAATTGCTCCTGAACCACATATTTCTTACGTGATACTGAGCCCCATCATAATCTGATGGGACCCCCATCCTCTACGGGGTCCATCGCTGATCGAAATGTCGTTATGCAGCATGGGACTGCACAGTACTTGACCATACACCTTTAATCTTGGGTAAAGACTGCAAATAAACCCCTAATTCCTTCCAGTAAGTATGTTTTCTGAATTTGTATGAACAAAGCAATTCTGAAACTACTTGAGATGTATTACAGAACTGAGCAAAGGAGTCAAAGTGCTGATGCTACTGGAGCCAGGGTTCAAGGGCATGAAACTAACTATAAAAGAAGAAGGAAGAAGCAAGGCAAGGAATAACCCTAGGATAAACTGGAGTTGGGAGTGTCAGGCGAACGCCGGATTTCTGAGTTGTGTAGACGTGTGCATATATGTGTGAGTTTGCATCGCATATATGTACATGCACAACTGTCCCCTGAAGGGGCCTATGAATACATGAAGTAGCAATGAACAACGCAACACCCAGATCTTAATTTCTAATGTTATTCTCTATTAAAAGGAGTCGGGGCTTTTGGTAAAATAGTTGCTTCTAAGACTGTGGCAGGGAAGGTACAAAGTGAACCTGGAATAGCTTGCTACACCAGAAAGTGATGAAGATTAAAGAAAAAGGAAAGAAAGATGTACGAAGCATACATAAGCAATACAAAAGCATACAGAGTCAGTTTGAAGGATTCCCAGTAGCAAACTCAGGGAAAATTCACACACAAAATAATTAAGAATAGTAAACAATTATGACCATTGAAAAATACAGAAATCTACGAGTCTGAGCTGATAATAGATAATTGGGTAGTAAGACAGGACTCTTGGTAATAGAGTAGAATGTCAACTTCTATAATTTTCTGTATTCGTGTTAACCTTAAAAAAATTTTAAGTGATTTATTTTTGGAACCCAGTTAAACAAAACAACATTCTAAAAGCTGCTGAGAAACTACAGGCTTTAGAACAGTGTAAGTGTGACTCAGTAAAGACCTGACCTTAATTAGAATCTTCTGTCTATAATTAGGACAGATTATAGCCTAAATATACCACTTTGGAGTACAGAACTCTCACACAACAAAACATTATAGGCTTTACTTTCACTAAACAGAATTTTAGTTTGTTTTTAAAAATAAAACTGGGTGAAAAAACCAGCCAAAGAAAAGCAAAGAAAAGAAAATGTATCCATTATGCAAATGGATACATAAAATGTCACATAAAGGTGGATGTGACAAATTGAGCTAGAATTTGGTGCCAAATTTCCTATCCCCTGAAGAACACACTCAGTTTATCTGAAAAGGAAAGCTAAATAATCCATTAAGTTTCCTTTGCTGCCAGAAAATTGATCTTCTCTATATGGTTGTTTTTAATTTAATTTATCTTCTGTTTAACTGCACATGGCATATGTTTTCTTTGTAAAATACTTCAAATCCTTTAAGACTGTAAATTATAAATTAAAAATAGCCTTAATAATATGACTGTAACACCAGTGTACAATAATTTCATTTCCTCATAGCACTACAAATACAGCAATTGAATTCGTCAGTGACTCAAAAAAATCGACTTTAGTTCAACACAAAAGACAGTGCTAGAACCAATTTTTACAAATAAAATTGTGTTTCCATTCCTAAACTCTTTTTCTTAATGATTTTATTTATTTTTACAGAGAGGGGAAGAGAGAAAAAAAGAGAGGGAGAGAAACATCAATGTGAGAGAGAAACATCGACCAGTTGCCTCTCGCAAGACCCCCACTGCAGACCTGGCCTGCAACCCAGATGTGTGCCCTGTTTGGGAATCAGACCAGCGACCTTTCCATTCGATGGCTGGCACTCAATCCACTGAGCCACACCAGCAGGGCCCATCCCCAAGCTTTTAATTGGGAAGTTCAAAACTCGAATTCAAATAATTAGGAAAGAACTTCCCTTTACAGGTTGAGGCCCTTTTAAATTAATAAAAGTCAAATTCCTGTTTTTACAATGAAATATGCAAAAAAGAACAGGTTTGTAGCTTTTTGAAAGGATGTAGCTTTTTGAGGAAAATCTTTAAACAAAGATTTTCCTTCGTAATAAAAACTATAAGGATTACAGTTAGGCATAATAATACTGTAGAAACTCCCTTTACTGAAGACTCACTACGTGGTGGTCGGCACTGTGGCTTACTTACCTATCTCTGGCCCCGCCGTGCCTAAGATCATACAACAAAGAGGAAGGGTACACAGCTGGGATGTAAAGACGGCACTTTCCAGTTCGAAAGTCAGTCTTATTTCCACTTCATGTTGCCTCTGGAAGCATAAAGTTCCCAGTTGTACGACAACTCCCCTATTTTCAATAAACAGTTTGTTTTCCATGAATACTTCTAATTTTTTCCTCATTGGGAAAGTTCACTTTCAAAGCTTTACAACAGGTTAAGTTTGATGAATGAATGAATCTCAGTCAAGGCTATCTTGACCAGTTTGGGGATGGGTGGATGAGTAAGTAGATAGGAATTAACAATAGCAGAGTCAAAAAATTTTGTGCAAAACTGCCCTTCAAATGTTTAGAAGTTGCTATAGTTATTCTGGAAAAAATAATCCAGTAAGTATAATTCTGATGCTTGTGGATGTACAAGAAATTCAATAAAAGAAAAAGAGCATCAGTTCAAAATTTCCCTTGACTTAGGCCACTTGAAAAATGTTCTAAATATTAATATAACTAGCACAAATCATAATGACATATTTAATACTTAGGCTTACTATAGCACATTAGCTCAGCAACTTCAAATTTAGACTTGTGTAGAGCCATGTTTTGTTGTATATGGCATTTTGGTATACACTGAAGTTCCCTTTTGTAAAATTTACTGTATATTTAGCCTTTGGTAAAAGAACTCCTTTTCCACCAGCTTTCTGACATAATGGTACACAATAACGAGTCATTCAAGACAAACAACGAAAAATGTTTAGCACATTATTAAGATAGTCAGAATTAACCTAATTATTATTAAGGACATAAATATATTAGGTACAAAAATATAACCTTTGTACTCAAGCACTTTTATTATGAGCTGGAGATAAAAACAGAGGTGATAAGTATGAAATAAGTGGTACAACCAAGTGTCACAGAAATGTAGCACGAGGACAGTATACTGCAGGTGGAGTGATTAGGAGACACGTTAAGGATGCAGCTTTTGAGGTGAACCAGGAAGGCTGGTTTCCAGGAGCAGGACACGGGGTCGGACCTCCAGCAGAGACACAGCGGGGCCCACACAAGGGCTTGGTGCTTTAGAAGACCAGAGGCAGGGAGGGTGACCTGTGGTCGTCCGCGGGCTCAGTCCAGCTCACTGCTTGTTTTTGTGTGGCCTGTGGGCTACCAGTGCTCTTTACATTTTCAAATGATTGGAAAAAAAAATTTCACGACACACAAGACCTGTGAAATTCTTTATGTCAAGTTTTACGGACACACGGCCATGCCACGCCCAGCTGTCCTCCCACTGCTCATCTCTGAGTGTCTTCACGCTATGAGGCAGAGGTGAGTGGTCGCAACGGAGACCACGTGAATCACAAAGCCCAAAATATTTACAATCTGGCCCTTTAGGGAAAGAGGTTGCCAACCTCTTGCCTTAGAAAGACCCTATGTAGCTCAGGTACTGTGAGTGAGGGCTGGGCAGAGAAAAAAGCTAGAAAGGTAAGAGGGCATGTAGGCCCCGGCAGAGATGTGAGTCTATGGTTTAGAGTAATGGGGAAGACATTAGAGAACATTAGGTAAGAGAGTGACCCTTAGGTACGCATTCTGGAAAGCTCATCCTGGTCGTTATACTAGTAGCCAGTGCTAGGAAACAGGTGTGGATCAAGAAGGCGCTCCGTGTAAGTCTAACCACAGTAACTTCACAGGGTCTCGGTGGGCAGTCACGAAGTCATGACTTTGCCTTAAGCAGCCCTGTCCCTTGTTCTTGTACTGGAGGTTAGCACACCTGTGAATGCCAGGGTAACCCCTTTTTTAGACCCCTCAGAGGCACAGCCACCTTCAAGGGGCATCCAAGTATACAGCATAATCTTTCAAACTATCTGGAACGTCGTTTTCTCCCACCTTCATGGAATCTTCCTTAGCTCCGCCTTAACTCCAGCATATAAAAGACAATGCGGCACCGTCATTCTCTGGGGCATCTGAGACCTTGCTTCTGGCACGTCGTTAGTTTGGCTCAAATAGACATTTATAAAAAATTCTGTACCGGTGTGGACGTTCTTATGTCGACATAAGTAAAAAGACCAGTGTAATAAGTTATTCAGAATATGGACACAGCTTAGACCATGGGGCTGGTAAAACACGGTGAGAAGGCTGAGCAAGGTTCTATCTGCGATCCCTTCAGAAAGCTCTGAAATTTTAAGAATCCAGTCTGATTTCTCAACTTTCCAGGCTATTTTCAATTATCACACAATTCTCAAAACTGTTATGCTATGAAGAGCTCCCCCGCAGGTAGGAAGTCAGAGATGCCAACCCAGCATTGCGCCTGTGAAAACTTTGGGAATTACTGAACAAATAACCTCCTCTCCCCACGTTAGAAAGTCTCTAAAGTACGGTTTTTATACGTATATATTTTTTGCAAGCTGGAAAGGACTATTTTTATGAAGTTTACGATGAAAGATTTTCCCGATAATACACTGTACTGCTTAAACGCATTTCGCTGCACTTTCTTTCCCATAATGCGGTAACGACGAGACAGAGAACGTACCTGCTACATTCTAACAGTGTGACTTTAAGGCGGCCTTCAGTGAGTGCCCACTGTTGTATATGGATATGCTCTTCTTCATCTTCTTCAAATCCTTGCACGGTTTGGAATGGAAAAAATGGCTTAAACCTGAAAAAGGAAGGATAAGTCTAAATTTCTGAATAGTAAACACCACCGTTTAAAGCACAGTAACCAAGCCTACCGATAGGGACACAACACAAGACACAGCACCTAGTACTGCAGGTACGCGGCAAAACCAATGCTGGCTGCGTGCCCCATAACCGGCAGTAAACGGTGCCTTCTCTGTGGCACCCAGACCTCCCGGCTTTTTGCCATACCCTCACTGACAAGGCAGGACACTTAGAACAAGGAAAAAGGAAATCTAAAGGGTCACCAGGTGGCCCTGAAACTCAGGTGGGGCAGGACAGAGATTCTTTCTGGACCAGATGGAAGAGTGTTCCTACAATACACGACCACAATTCAGAATGCACTAGGCTATGGAAACAAAATAATTGATGGCACCCTGACTGGTGTGGCTCAGTGGACTTGAGTACTGGTCCTTGAACCAAAGGGTTGTTGCTTCAATTTCTGCTTCAGTGGAGTCCTGGTTGGGGCACTTGCCTGGGCTGTGGAGCCAGGTCCCCAGTAGGGGGCACAGGAGAGGCAACCACACATGGATGTTTCTCTCCCTCTTTCTCCCTCCCTTCCCCACTCTCTAAAAATAAATAAATAAAATCTTTTAAAAATTATATATATACATATATATAATTGATAGTGACTAGTCCCTTCGCATACCACAAGATACCATGCATATTCCCACTGCTAAAAAGAACCCACAGACCCCCAGTGGAGTCACTTTGCTAGGCCTCACCAAGACTTAATTCCTAACATTTCAACTGTAGTTTCAGCCTCTCCTATGAGTGGAATTTTAATCCAGTCAATCTGCAACTTCCCGGTTAACATTAGTGAGGTAATCTGCCTGATAAGACCCCTTGCCTCCCTAAGAGAAGGTGTTCTTGCCTGAAATGTCCCACTCTAAACATCCTTGTTGTAACGTTTTTCTCCCTATAAAAACCTTCCACTTTGTACAATTCCTCTGTTTTTGAGACTGGATACTGCAGATTCGTGAATAAAGCCAATTAGAGCTCTCCATGAAGCTGGCAGAGATCTAACTGTTCTTTGACAGCACCGATTGGAGGTCCGCCCTACTCCTCAAAGCCTGTCCAAACCCAAACACTTCTGCAGTGGGCTTCAGGTCCGGATGGTAGCGGGCCACAGCACTGCTTTCACCCCCGGTCACCCTGCAGTCAGTGGCCACTGTGCCTTTGTGCCTTGGAATCTCAATGGTGACCTGGTCTCACACGTCTCCACACCACCCACACCCCAACTCAGGACTCAAGTATTTGCTGAGCTGATGAATAAAATCCAACACCAAAAATGAAATAAACACTTGGGAAATGCTAACAGCACCCTACAATTCATACTGAAATATTGTGTATTGAAAGAGGAGGAGAAATGCTGTTTTATGGTTTCCCAAACAAGGGGATTAAAGGAAAAACGTTTTAGGGAAAAGTAAATAGGTTTACAGACAATGCCCAGTGCTTTTCTTCTGCTTCAGAACTAGATGAAAAACAGAAAGCCCCATTGTTTCTGCATTTGAGGTCATCTGATTCAGAAAGACTCACACCAAATGTTTGGAAGGAAAAAAATTAGGAACTAAATCTATCATGTTAATACAATATTGCAGCTGAGTGTTTTAAATATATAAGCCTCATGGCTTCTGGAGAACATTTGACTCTGTCACTCTGCAAAAAATTTAAAATGTTACTAAAGACACTAGCAACTTTGAATAAAATAATCCAAGTTTGCCAAATCACAGCTGTTTTATGCATCAACTTTTCTTGCCAAGTATAAAGTTAAAATTCAATAAAGTTTCTCACAGGTGTGTGACTTCAATGTTATAGGGAGTACAATCTAATATGTGTTTATTAATGCTTCTGGGGGCATTTGCCATGAGTGCTTATAAAATCAGAAGACTGTATTCCACTGTAAAACAATATAATAAGCAGTGGGATAAAGCTGTTTGTTCAGCCAGCAGATGAAGAAAACCCACACATTCACACTCTCTAAGACCTAACACGGCAGGGGAGGACTTCTCTAGAACAGTGTGGAAATCACTGAAAAACAAACAAGTAATACACCCTGGAGAGAGGGATCAGTAGCTAGAGTTGCTATAATATAGTAAATAAACTATTTGGTTCCCAACAAAAATGACGAGGCCTGCAAAGGACCAGGACAGCATGACCAGAGAAAACCAGGCAACACGAACAGCCAGTGTGAATGATCCAGTGTTAGATTGTATAAAAAGACTCCAAAATAGCTACTATAAATATGTTCACAAAAGTTTTAATAAAATTTAATTAAAAAAAAAAAAAGAACTAAGTGGTAATTCTGGAGTTGAAGAGTACAACAATGGAATAAAAAGTTCACCCAAAGGGCTTTCAACAGTGGATATAAACTGACAGAAGAAAAGAATTAGTGAATTTCAAGATCCTCAGCTCAACAGAGGTTATGCAAATCAAAGAATAATGAGGAAAAAAGAATGAAGAAATGGGCTTCAAAGAAACTTCAGGAGAAATGCAGGAGACCATTAAGTACTCCGACCTACACGTATAATGGGAGTGCCAGGGGGAGGGGAAGGAAGAGGGATAGAGGGAGGAGCAGAAAGAAATATTCAGAGAAATACCACAGGGAGCCAGTAAGCCCCGAAGCCGCAAATTACATGACTTCACGTATATGAAAATCCGGAACAGAGACAGAAAGCACAGCGGTGGTTGCTTAGGGTTGGGGGCAGTACGTGGGTTAGGAGGATGCCAGCTGAAAGGTACGGCGTTTCCTTCGGAGGTGATGAGAATGTTCCAAAATTGTGATGACGGCTGCACACATCTGTGAAGGCACTGACAACACTGTACTGTAAGCTTTAAATAGGTGCATTGTGTGGAATACGAATTACATCTCCATAAAGCCATTTTAAAAAAGACCCAACCCAGTTGCCCAGAAATAATTTTCCTTGCTATTGCTTTGACTGGTAAATGTCTGGTTAAACTATCTGATTAAATAAGAAACAAAATAATAAATAACACAGCTCTGTTAAAACGATGTACAGACCCTGTGAAGGCTGGGAAACACAAAAGGTTATTAAGTGGTCTCCATGACCGGCACTGGCTGTTAACGTGCTTACAGGCAGCAGTCCCTGTACCCCTGGTTTCGCTCCCCATGGCCTCAGTTACCCGCGGCCAATCCTGGTCCAAAGATATTAAATGCAGAACTCCAGAAATAAACAACTCATTAAGTTTTAAGTTGTGCACTGTTCGGAGTAATGTGATCAAATCTTGCGCTGTCTTGCCCCGTCTTGCCAGGGATGTGAGTCAGTCACCCCTTTGTCCAGCGTGTCCGCACTGTTTGTGCTCCCTGTCTCTGGGGTATCAGCTAGACTGCAGAGGTCCTGCCGTGCTCGCATTCAAGTGTTGGGAACCGCCCTGCCTGGTATCAGAAGCTGTAACCCCCCGCCAAGGCTAAGGCTGAGGGGACGACCTTGGAACCATAAGCCACCAAAGAGACAGGCTTATCTCCCTGGCAGAAGCGCTGCTTCTGCTACTTCATCCATAACTGGTCCCCAATGCTTGGTCGATTAGCCAATGACGGGTAAGATTCCCCAAGGGGGAGGATGATCTAAGACAGGCACGATCATGTGGGAGCCCCCAAGAAAGGACTTTGGGGGCTACAGCAAAAGGGGGTGATGGGCCCTCGCCCCTCGGCTTTGACATAGCCTGAGTCCTCATCGTCTGGGAGAAAATCTCCTATCTCTTGGTTGCCTTAGTTCCCTTGCTCCACTTAAGCCTGAAACGATGACAAGGTGGTGCAGCCCTGTGCTGGAAAGGGGGGGTTCCCCGGGTGATCAGTCCTAAGAAAGAATATGTAAAATCCTGTGAAACCTGCTTTGTTTAGAATGCTCTCAGTTGAATGATAAGGGTCCAGGGAAGAAGTTAAGTTTGTTCCTTAAAGCTTTTTACAGCTCTTTGACCCTGACTCAAAACAGGCCCTCAGACTTCTTTGTTACCTGTTGTTTGATCCTTACTTCCTAGCAATGAGTAATGAGCTTTACCTGAATTCTTATGCAAACGAAACCAATAAAAAGCCTCTCCAGTGGGGGAACAGGGTGCGTTCTCCCCACCAGAGAGAGTGGCCGTTCCATTCCCACTTCCCCACAGGACCTGGTTGTCTCTGTGTATGTTTTTCTCGAGTTTTGACGAGCCACCCGCAGCGTTCCGTGGTCACTGCCGGTCGGTGATCACGTCCTTCAAGTAGCCCTTATTTTACTTAATAATGGTCCCAAAGGAAGGGAGTGGTGATGTTGCCAAATCGACTATGCCAAAAGGAAGCCATAAAGTGCTTCCTGCAAGTCAAAAGGTTAAAGTTATTGGCTTAATAAGGAAAGAAAAAAAATCATATGCTGAGGTTGCTAAGATCTATATAAGAACAAAGCTTCTATGTGTGAAATTGTTTAGAAGAGAAAAAAAATTTACACCAGTTTTTCAGTCACACCTCAAACTGCAAGTTACAGCCACAGTGCGTGGTAAGTGTTGAGTTAAGATAGAGAAGACATTACACTTTATCACAGGTGTGCATGTACAGGGAAAGAAACAGTATATATGGTGTCTGGAGCTATCTGCAGTTTCAAGCATCCCCGGCTGGGGGACTACTGTGTTTGTTCACTTACCATAATCCTTACAAGAACCCCCAAACTATGGGTACACTGTACATAGGAAACAGTTTGAGAGGTCTCACAAATATTAGACACTGAAGCCAAAATTGGAAACTACATTATCCTCCCAGCCCTGCCATTACAGAGTACCACAGATGGGATGGCTTAAAGAACAGGAACTTATTTTCCTACAGTTTCAGAGGCTGAAAGTCCAAGATCAAGGTGCCGGGACAGTTGGTTTCTAGCAAGGCCTTGCTCCTTGCCTTGGAGACAGCCACATTCCTGCTGTGTCCTCCCTCTCATGACCTTTTCTCACACACGCACTCCTGCTGCCTTTCCTCTTCCCGACACCAGTCCTAATGAC